CCAGTGTCTCCCTCTCTCTCTGCCCCTCCCCTGCTCACACTCTGTCTCTGTCTCTCCCTCAAAAATACATAAAGATTAAAAAAAATTTTAAAGATACACTTTATATTCAAAAACACAAATAGGTTGAAAGGAAAAGGATGGAAGAAGACGTTTCATACAAGTAGTAACTAAAAGAGAGCTGGGGTGGCTATACTTTTATAGGCTACATAAAATAGATTTTAAGACAAAAATTGCGGGGCGCCTGGGTGGCTCAGTTGGTTAAGCATCCAACTTCGGCTCAGGTCATGATCTCAAGGTTTGTGGGTTTGAACCCACATCGGGCTCTGACCTGACAGCTCAGAGCCTGGAGCCTGCTTTGGATTCTGTGTCTCCCTCTCTCTCTGCCCCCTCCCGTTTGCATTCTGTCTCTCTCTCTCTCTCTCTCAAAAATAAATAAGCATTATTAAAAAAAAAAGACAAAAATTGTTACTAGAGACAAAGGGAATTTTATAATGATAAAAGGGTGACTCCATCCGGAAAATGTAACAATTATGAACATACATGTACATAGCAGCAGGGTCCCAAAATATACGAAACAAAAGGTACAGAATTGAAGGGAAAAATAAACAATGTAACAATAGTTGGAGGCTTCAATACCCCCATTTTCTTTTCTTTTTTTTTTTTTTTTTTTTGAGCACTTTAAGGACATTTTATTTATTTATTTTTAAATATAGTTTATTGTCAAATTGGCTTCCATACAACAGCCAGTGCTCAGCCCAACGAGTGCCCTTCTCAATGCCCATCACCCACTTTCCCCTCTCCCCTGCCCCCCATAAACCCTCAGTTTGTTCTCTGTAATTAAGAGTCTCTTATGGTTTGCCTCTCTCCCTCTCTGTTTGTAACTTTTTTTCTCCCTCCCCTCCCCCATGATCTTCTCTGTTAAGTTTCTCAAGATCCACATATGAGTACCTGTCTTTCTCTGACTGATTTATTTCACTTAGCATAATACCCTCCAGTTCCATCCACGTTGCTGTAAATGGCCAGATTTCATTCTTTCTTGTTGCCAAGTAGTATTCCATTGTTTATATAAACCACAATTTCTTTATCCATTCATCAGTTGATGGACATTTAGGCTCTTTCCATAATTTGGCTATTGTTGAAAGTGCTGCTATAAACATTGGGGTACAAGTGCCCCTATGCATCAGCATGCCTGTATCCCTTGGGTAAATTCCTCACAGTGCTATTGCTGGGTCATAGGGTAGATCTATTTTTAATTTTTTGAGGAACCTCCACACTGTTTTCCAGAGCAGCCGCACCAGTTTGCATTCCCAACTACAGTACAAGAGGGTACCCGTTTCTCCACATCCTCACCAGTATCTATAGTCTCCTGATTTGTTCATTTTAGCCACTCTGACCTGTGTGGCTAAAATGGCTTTGATTTGTATTTCCCTGATGATGAATTGAGCATCGTTTCATGTGTCAGTTGGCCATCTGGATGTCTTCTTTGCAAAAGTGTCTATTCATATCTTCTGCCCATTTCTTCGCTGGATTATTTGGTTTTTTGGATGTGGAGTTTGGTAAGTTCTTTAGAGATTTTGGATACTAGCCCTTTATCCGATATGTCTTTTGCAAATATCTTTTCCCATTTCGTCAGTTGCCTTTTAGTTTTGTTGATTGTATCCTTTGAAGTACAGAATGTTTTTATTTTGATGAGGTCCCAATAGTTCATTTTTGCTTTTAATTCCCTTGCCTTTGGAGATGTATTGAGTAAGAAATAGCTGCGGCTGAGGTCAAAGAGGTTGTTTCCTGCTTTCTCCTCTAGGGTTTTGATGGTTTCTTGTCTCACATCCAGGTCTTTCATCCATTTTGAGTTTATTTTTGTGAATGGTGTAAGAAAGTGGTCTAGTTTCATTCTTCTGCAGGTCTCCCAGGACCATTTGTTAGAGACTGTCTTTTTTCCATTGGATACTCTTTCCTGCTTTGTCAAAGATTAGTTGGCCATACATTTGTGGGTCCAATTCTGGGTTCTCTATTCTATTCCATTGATCTATGTGTCTGTTTTTGTGCCAATACCATACTGTCTTGATGATTACAGCTTTGTAGTAGAGGCTAAAGCCTGGGATTGTGATGCCTCCTGCTTTGGTTTTCTTCTTCAGTATTACTTTGGCTATTCGGGGTCTTGTGTGGTTCCATACAAATTTTAGGATTGTTTGTGCTAGCTTTGAGAAACATGCTGGTGCAATTTTGATTGGGATTGCATTGAATGTGTAGACTGCTTTGGGTAGTTCAATACCCCATTTTCAATAAGGGATAGGATGCTTAGGCAGACCATCAACAAAACCAACAAGGAACTAGATGACTTGAACAACACTATAAACCAAGTGGATCTAACAGACATCTGGAAAATACTACCACTATAATACTACCACTATAATACTGATCCCAGTGGGAGTAGAATACACATTTTTCTCAAATGCACATGGAACATTCTCTAGGAAAGATCATCTATTTGGTCATAAGAGGAGCCTCAGTAAATTGAAAGAGATTGAAATCATACAAAGTTTGTTCTATGACATAAAATTTGAAATAAGTGACAAAAGGAAATTGGGGAAAATAGCAAATATGTGTAAACTAAGCAACATCCTCTTCAGTGACCAAAGAGTCAACGAAGAAATCAGAAGATAAATTAGGAAGAACTTTGGAATAAATGAAACAAGAACCCAAGATACCAAAATTTATGGGATGCAGCTAAGGCAGTTTTAGGGAAAGTCTTATAGATGTAAACATATTAAAAAAGAAAAAAGAGGGGCGCCTGGGTGGCGCAGTCGGTTAAGCGTCCGACTTCAGCCAGGTCACGATCTCGCGGTCCGTGAGTTCGAGCCCCGCGTCGGGCTCTGGGCTGAGGGCTCAGAGCCTGGAGCCTGTTTCCGATTCTGTGTCTCCCTCTCTCTCTGCCCCTCCCCCGTTCATGCTCTGTCTCTCCCTGTCCAAAAAATAAATAAACATAAAAAAAAAAAAATAAAAAAAAAAAAAAGAAAAAAGAGCTCTTACATTTCTACCTTAAAACCCTGGAAAAAGAAGAGTTCCTGTCTAGCTCTGAGTATTTGTGAGTCCATGATTTTACTATCCCTTGCTTCTAGCCCAGAGTAGGAGTACTTAAATGCCAAAATGTGAAAAGGGGAAGCTGTGTGGCATTTGCCTCAGAGCTATCCTCAGTGCCCCCTAGTGGCCTTGTCTGTGAACCACAAGCAGAATCATGGAATTGACAACCTTCCGACTGAGACTACAGCCCTAACCCCGCAGTCCAAAAGCAGAGGGTGTTTTGGAAAAGGAGGATCATGTTCCCTCTCTCAAGGTAACAACTCCCAGCCAGAGGCAATGTTCACAGCATTTACCTAGAGTAACCGCCCCCCCCCCACGCCGGCCCCATTGCTCTGCACAGGCTGCTGCACAGGCTGCTGCTAGATGTATTTGGGGCCTGCTTATTGTCACTGTTCATAAGCAAAGATGAAGGAGTTCTTTCATGCCCAATAGGTGTTGAATCTTTAAAAAATTAGTGCTGAGAGTAATGGCCTATCTTTGTGGGGTGGCCTAGGTTAGGGCCAGGCTTAGCCTGGGGCCAGAGGCTAAAGGTCATGGCTAATCTCAGACTGGGGCTGGGGTGGGGCTGAAACTGTCATCAGAAAGCAGGCCTTTCCTCCATCCTCAAGGAAATCCTCTGACCTGAACTCTGGGGGCCTAAGGCCTGCCTAGTGCTACAGAATTCAGCCTCTGTTGCCCCTTGAGGGTATCTCCTGTTGCCGCCTGGCCTCCCGCTCACTGTGGAGACATCAACTCTCCTGCCTTTCCAAACCAAGCCCCATTGCAGACCCATCTACCACCACATCCTCCTTCAACTCAGCAGTGCTGTTTCCCCTGTCTTTGTTTGCTGCTCTTCCCTGCATTTCCTTCCTGGCCAACTTCTAGTCACCCTTCAAATCCCAGGTTGACATTGAGGTCCCAGTTCAACCAGGCATGCCATGTTGTATGCACAGAGGAGCAGTCCTTGAAGTGGATGAATGAATGGCAAAGAAACTTAGGCGGTGGGAAAGTTGGAATGAGGTCATTTGGTCTCACCTAAGAGGGGTTCCCAGCTGCGTAGTACTCATTGAATCAAATGGAATTAGAACAGAGAGAGGTGGCATCTTGGGGGACCAGGGTGTGGCATGAAATCATTAAAGCAACAGCAGGCTAGCTCTCCCTCTTTGTGGTATAACTGAGGCCAGAGGCAAGGAACATGGCTTGAGTGATCCACGGAGGACCCTTCTAGTTCTGCCATCTCAGGACCTTAAAAGTGGACAGTAACCCTCTGCCACACACAGTAGACAGCTGTGAGGGGGCTCCAAGGACCCTTGCCTCTAGGCATTCATTCAGTGTATCATCCTCTTGAGTGTGAGCTGGATCTAATGGGGAGAATATGGCAAAAGTGACAGGATATCACATCCGAGATGAAGTTATAAGAGAATGTGACTTCCACCTTGCACACTCTCTCTCTGACTCTTTCTGCTTACTCTCTCTGATGAAGCCAGCTGCCATGTTGTGTTCCATGAACTACTCCATGGAAAGGCCCGTGTGGCAAGCAAGCAAGAGTGGCCTCTGGGCAATAGCCAGTGAGGAAGTGAACACTGCCAGCAGCTGCGTGAATGAACTTGGAAGTGGGTCCTCCCCTGGTCAAGCATGAGGACGACTGCCGCCCGTCTGATTATCTTGACTGTAGCCTTGCGAGAGGCCCTGAGGGAGAGGGTTCTGCTAAGCTATACCTCGGCTACTGACTCCCAGATTGTGTGGTGGACCCAGTGTTGTGTGAAGCCACTGTGTTGTGGAGTCATTTGTTACGCAGGAAAAGATAACCAATACTACCGTATGGCGTGTAGACCACGTAGACCAAAAGAGCAAGGGGGAAGGCTTGGCAGGGAGCCCAGATGGGGCCACAGCCTCCCCAAGTGTCAGGGGCAAGACGCAGGTGAAGTCCCAGCAATAACTCACAGAGAACTCTCGTTTTCGTTTATTCGTTTTGGAATTTACAAAAGTGTGACATGGGACAATCATCTCATCAAGAGAAAACAGAACACACAGAGGGGCTGGGTTTCTTCCCCGGTTCCTCCCCTCTCAGAAAGGCACAAATATGTGAGGCTTGGGTTCGGGGGCCTCCTGTCTTAAGACCAATGTCATGCTCAGAAGGCCAGGCCCCTCTGTGAACAGGATGAGGGACCCTTTCCTCACACTCATACTTGGGTTATGGGCTAAACAAACCGAGGCCACTGGGAAACATGTGAATCAGGCCAAGTCCAGGTCTGTCCCGGGCACATGTTGTCAGCACCCTGTGGAAGACTAGTCACTCCAACTATACAACATGGTGGCTGACTAATCCTGGAGGCAGTGCATCTGGGACAGCGCTGTCCCTAGCACAGGCTGATCGCCACCCTGGTTCTTACCCTGGAGGCCTCAGATTTAAAAGACTAACTGGACTGGAGCTGGAGCATTCCAGATGCTCATTACTGCACTCTTCAAGTTGGGGACATCTGTGCCCTCCAGGTCTTCCCGTTGGTATGAGGGGCCAGGCCTGCAGTTAAGTGTGGGGTAGGTATTTTAGAATAGAGGTGTTTGTATTAGAAGTGGCTCCTGCCCCTCATCCTGCAAGTGAAAAGAAGATAACCTAACCCCGGTCTGAGTCGCCAGTGGCTGTCCTTCTTTCCCAGTTAACCAGGACTGAGTTTTGTCTGTAATTTTGGGGAAGGAAGAAGAAGGATTGCTTGAGAAACCATAAAGGCCCAAATGCGTCAGCCACCACCTAGAACAGGACAAATTGGAACTAAAAGAGTTGGAAATATTCACTTTTTCCTTATTAAAAAAGACCTAACATTTGTAATGGTTTAACAAAATTATTATAATTTCTTTTAAATAACCCACAGACACCCATGACGCTTCCAAATTTACAGAACAAAAAAGCATTCGAGAACTTGGTAGAAAACGATTTGTAGCTGGTTCCTCCTAGGAGCTGGCCCCTGAGGGCGGGCTCAGTTCACCTCCAGAACCTCAGTCTCCGGGAGGCCGAACTTGGTCTTGTGTTTGTCGAAGAGCTTCACCAGGGCCTCCATGTACATGCTGTGGTACAGGTCTATGTCCTGCTGGGTTGGGTGCTCCAGCTTGGGGATGGTGATGGGCTCACCCACTGCAGGGATGGGGCAGAGGCCTCTGGTTAGTCAACCCACTCGGGCCCCCCTGAGAGTCTACCATGATGTTGATAGCAGTGACCCTGCTCTACGTGCCAACCATGTGCCAGGAACTGTGCCAAACGCGCTCCACCTCAGGTTGTCCCTGTTACAGGGGAGAAGATGGGAGGCTCCAGGGCATGGGAAGGGACCTGCCTCAGGCCACACAGTCACTAAGCAGCAGGTGGGATCAACACTGGCTGCTCCGAAGGCACTCAGTTGGAAGGTCCCATGTAAGAGTTATGGGACCAAGTAATGGCTTTGCTCTTGGTCTGCTCCAGGCAAGTCACTTTGCCTCTCTGAGCCTCAGTTCCCTCACCTGTCACATGGGGCTCCTTCCTCATAGGACTTTGATTAGGATTTTGAAATCACATGACATGCTTTGAAAAGTGTGCTGAGGGAGGAGGAGCCCAACATTCATACATCCATTCATTGCTTTATTTTCTGCATCTCCGTTTTCAACTCATCCCAAAGTCCTGGCAAAGACATTTCGGAAATTTCTCCCAAGTGCATGCCCTTCTCTCATCACCACTGCCATTCCCCTCGTCCCTAGTGGCTACCACAGGGGCATCCCGCATTGGTCTTGTGGCTTCCATTTTTGACCCTTCTAACCCATTTTCTATCCAGCAGCCCAAGAATCACTTTAAAATGCAACTCTGAACCTCTCCTCCCCAAAGCCCTCAAGTAGCTTTCCATTCTTAAGGTGAAGAGCAAACTAGTTCACACTGCCCACAGGAGCCTGTCCCTCTCCAGCCACACGTGTGCATGGATATGTCCCTGCTGATCAGAGTGGTCAGACCGGGTATAGGATTTGCACGTAACAAGAGTCAAGAGTGAGTCTGGGTCCTGTCACACAAGATGCAGGCAGTTAGTCTTTGTACAAATACAAAGCAAAACACCTGACCCTGATAACTCAAAATATCTATGTGAGCTTTGGTCCCTAAAGTCCATGGCTTGCGGCCTACACACTTTTGTGTGATCTCTGGCTTGTGAGACACACACACACACACACACACACACACACACACACACACATCCAGAACAACACAGCTGAGGGACAAGTGCTGCCAGTTTTTGCTATACTTCTCAGAGGACTATGCTCCAGTCATGTTGATGTTTTTCTTTCTGTTCCTCAAAAATCTATACAATCTTGCTGCGGGAACTTCACTTAAGCTAATGTTTCTGACAAAAAAACAAAAAACAAAAAACAAAAAACACCTCTCTTCTTCCTGTCTTTTGCTAGATAATTCCTATTCAGTTAGAAGTGGAAGAGTCACCGCTTCTTGGAGGTCCACTGCAACCCCCCAGAGCACCCTGTACGTTCCCCTCACACCCCCTCCTGGTCTTTGCTTGACAGACTGGTCTTCCTGATCTTCCCTGACAGACTCCTGGGCCCTGCAAACACGGACCGTTAAGTCTTGTTTTCTCATCTGGCGCTGCTTGGCTCACAGTGATGGAACTATCTCCACCCCCACTGGCCGTTTCCATCAGCACCCAAACATGTCCACAGCTGCATGGTTTAGAGCATGGACATCAGAGCCAGAGGGCCTGCATGTGAATCTTAACTCTACCACAAACTAGCAGTGGGGCACCTCGAGTTCAGGGGCCGCAGGCAGGGGAGCTCACCAATGGTAGTGATGGGCTTGGAGTAGGGCACCAGCCCCCAGGTGTCAGAGGAGAAGAGGCCTCGGCCATGGAAGATGCACGGGGCAAAGCCAATGTACTTCTGGAACTTCTTCTGGACCCATCGGCCCCAGGAGCCCTCTTCAAAGATCACCTGCTTGTATACTTCATTCTCCCCGAAGGAGTAGGTGGGAACCAGGTCAGCTCTGGAAGGGAGAAGCCAGAGTCAGTCACACCCTAACTGCTGGCCTCTGATCTCCCAGCAGCATGACTTATTTGGCCCCAGGGCACATCCTTGCACATGAGCTTGGCCTGTAGCCCACCTGCAGGAGCCCAGGAAACACAGGCTGCATCTCTGCCCCACTCAGACACTCAGGCTACACTTGGGCAAACTTGGTCTGAAGCTCTGGCATCCAACCTCTCCTCTCCCACAGGATGGCAAATTCCCATCTATGCCTTCCTGGGGTTTGGGCCTTGCTTCTAGGAGCAAGGAGTTGCTTTGTTTGGGCCAAACAAAGCTTTGGAGGGCTGTGCATGCATGTGCATGCTGGTGTGCACGCGTGTGCATGTGTGTGCAGGAGGCACTTACCCGTGGCGTAGGGCCAGTTTTACAAAGCCCTTGCGATTGCGCAGAGTGACTGCGTTCTTGCCAGGCATGGAGCTCAGGGACTCGGCTGCACCCCCCACTACGATGATGATGGCATTGCCACTCCCATTCTTTGAAAGCAAGTAGTCTATGGTGTCCCTGTTCACAGGGCAAATGCCTGGCAGGGAGAAGGACATAGAGTCAGGGCTGCCCATAAATGCACTCCCTACCCCCTTCATACAGCCAAACATAAACGGAAAGAGCCCTGGCCTTAGGCTCCAGACCTAACCCAGCCACTAGAAGCTGTATGGCCCTGCGTAAGCTATTTCTTTTTCTGAGCCTTGGCTTACTTATGTGTAAAATGGAGATAATGATACCAGGTTGTTTAGAGAACTTGTTCATTTGGCAAACATTCCCCGAGGTCCTAACACTGCCAGGCTATTGCTAGGTGCTGGGGATCCCAGCGAATCAGGGTGGCAGGGGCCGCAGGCCGGTGGATAAGGACAGATCCACAGAAAGTGATTAGGCTGTGCAAAGGGCAGCACAGGGGCTGGGTTGCCCAGAAAAGGAGTCAGAGCAAGCATCGTAGGGAAGATGTTATTGAAGCCGAATCCTGAAGGATGCACGAATGACCCTGCTCAGGCCTGACCCACCATGCCTATGGCCGACTGCACCTCTGAGCACGGGACCAGCCGCTGGGGCAAGGTATATGGGCTTCCTGACCTCTCTATCACCTTGCTCAGTGGAAAGGCTCAGGCCTGGACAAGAGTGCAGCAGGGGCAGGCAGATTCTCACCTCCAGACATCAGGTATTCCCTCAGCACCGGCATCCGGAAGTTGCCGGCCAGCGTGGCCAGGTAGGGCCTTATGCCGGGGAACTTCTTGCTCACTTCTGTGGCCTCTGTGCTGAAGTTACAGAAGGCACCCAGGCCCATGATGCCATGGGGGTGGTATCCAATGATGTAGTTCCTGGTGGTCAACAGGTTGTGTGTCTTCACCAGCTGCAGGGTACAACTCAGGTCAGAGGAAACTGCCAGGAGACAGGGGAAGGACTGCGTGTGTCATGCCCGATGAGACTCTGGGCCTGAAGGACCGGAGGGTCTCTGCACACCTGACCTCAGACTCTTGGCAATTGGCATTTAGACTGTGAGTCCCCAGGAAGGGAGGGGGAAACTTTCTCTCTCATGCCCTTACTTCTCCAGCCAGACACAACAGGTCCCCTTATCTGTACCCTGCTCTCCTCCTGGACCCATTCTCCTCATCCAACCCCTGCCGCTCTCAGATAAAGAGGGGTGTCCAGTTTTCGTTGGGGTAAAGTCCACATCCTTCGGTTAGGGCAGAAAAGGGACAATGCAGCTGGCCTGAATGGAAACGTCCTTCCAGGCAGCAAGGCTCAGCTGCGTTGCTGGGGAGTCAGGCAAGCAATAGCCCTGTGCCGGCCGCAGTGGGGGTGGGGGATCAGCTGTACGGCCAGGCAGCTGACCTGTGGTACTATCAACAAAGCTGGGATGCTCTGAAGAAGGACTGGCTTCCATGAGGGCTGCCCCCTCCCCTGGAGCTGGTGGCCTGGAGGGTGGGGTGGGTGGTATAGTTTCCCTATACCCTGAGGCACCTACCCAGCATTGCAAGGAACTTGGTAGGGGTAGAGGCACTGAAAGGGATGGAAAGCAAGGGCATTTGGCTCAGAAAACATCACTTCTTTTCTGATTAGACAAGTAATAAATAATCATAGAGCATTTAAAAAATACAGGAAAAGGGGCACCTAGGTGGCTCAGTTGGTTAAGCGTCCCACTCTTGATCTCGCAGTTTGTGAGTTTTAGCCCCACATCGGGCTCTGTGCTAACAGTGCAGAGACTGCTTAGAATTCTCTCTCTCTCTCTCTCTCTCTCTCTCTCTGCCTCTCCCCCACTCTCTCTTTCTCTCTCTTTCAAAAATAAATAAACATTTTTTAAAAAATACAGGAGAGGCGCCTGGATGGCTCAGTCGGTTAAGCGTCCCACTTTGACTTAGGTCCTGATCTCATGGTTCGTGGGTTCAAGCCCTGTGTCAGCTCTGTGCTGACAGCTTGGAGCCTGGTGTTCTCTCTGTCCTTCCCCCATTCACGCTCTGTCTCTCTCTCAAAAATAAAAATAAACATTGACAAATTTGTGTTTAAATACAGGGAAGTAAAAAGAAAATCCAAAGTACCTGTCCTATCTCCAATCCTGATAAACCACTCTAATGTGTTGAATCCTTTTGTCACTCAAATACACAGATGCTCTTTTTTAAAAACCACAAAATTAAGGGCACATGGTTGATATCATTTTTCTACCAAGCATATCATAACTATTTTTCCTACCACGATCCCTCATTAACATGTCTCTCATGGCTGCATTATTCTGTCACACAGCTATGCTGTACAAAATAGAATTATAATCAAACTCCGATTGATGGATCTTTAAAAACCTTCTAAAATTTCCTTCAGAAAGAATGCTTCCATAAGTATCTTATTTTTGTCCACATATCTGATTGTTTGACAAACTTCTAGAAATACAATTCCTGGGTCAAAGGGTATGAACATTTTGGTCTTGTGGGCTGCCCTGCCTCTAGAGGGGTGGCACCGATAACATTCCTACTTGCTGTGTTTGAAAGTACCCACGTCCCTGCACTGGTGCCAGCTAGAGGCAAGGCATGGGCCAACGGCAGAATGTCAGGAGCCCGGATTTACCACGACTCCAGGTTTGGGAACCCCCATCTGAGGGAAGGATCTTGTGCTCAGTCTGGGGCGAGGGGGTGCTGGTGGCTGGCCCTGGGAAGCTGACATCTGAATCTTCCGGTGACAGAGGCCTGAGGGGGATGGTGTCGATGGTGGCCGGCACCATTCCCAGTTTGGTAACTGCCAGAATGTGCGCGAGCAACACCCTATGAGTTTCACCCGCTGTTGCTTGGGCCTTCCTTCCTCTTCCTCTTCCTCTTCCTCTTTGCCTTTGGCAAGCACATTCAAGTTGTTCAAGAACTCAACCAACTCGAAGCCGCCCCCTACATAAACGGGAAACAGCAGCAGTGTAGGTCCTGACTATTGGGTAGGGGGCAGCGAGGGGTTGTAAAGGGGGCCTGGCTTTACACGAGCCTTGCAAGGAAACTGCTCCGAGATTTTGCCTCCTGAGGAGCAGGTATGCCCACCACACTAGCTCGCAGTAAAGTGGACCCTGGGGCTGGCTTCTAGGTGATGGGATGGTGTCAAGGTAAGAACTGAGCAGCCAGCACCGCATTGGTGACCTGCCCCAGACTGAATGCTGGGTCTGGGAGTCCAAGACCTAGAATGGGCTGGAGGAACCTTGACCTAGGCCGTTTCTTTGATCACAAGGTAGAGACTGAGGCCTAGAGAAAGGAGATTGCAGCGAATCCTACACCACCTCTAGACCAGGCCACCCAGTGGGCTCTTCTCTGAGCCACTGGGATCAAGTGCGCCACCTGGTGGAAGCCCAGCTGGCTCTTTAAATCAACTCCCCCCATGTGTCTATCTGGTGGGGCACTTGGTTAAGTGTGCTACCCCGAGGTACACTGCAGGTTAACGGCCCTTAGGGCAGTCACCGGAAGAACAGGCATCTGGTCGGCTTTGATCTGTCTTCATGCCACACTCCCCTGCCCCCCAAGGCTGGACAGAGCGTCCATTCTGGAGGGAGAAGGAAGGCACTGACACGCTGGCTCCTGTGTCCCCTGTTTCCCATGGCAGAGTCGCAGCCCCAGAAGTTTCCCAGGCCAGGCCTGCTTGCTAACATGAGTGAGGAACACATCCTGGCAAGTTGCTTCTCCCACGCTGCCTCCTAGGGCAAGAAAGGTGCGCAGATAGGCTTGTCATACCCTGGCACCAAACAGAGGAAGAAATTCAGAACCAGAGAGGAGCAGAGACTTGCCTAAGCTTATTACACAGCATTGCATGAAGGCAGAGGAACGTAGGAGGGAGAACATGGGCCCTGAAGCCAACAGCTTTGGTTCCTATACCTGCCCTGCTCCTGCCTTGCTCTGGGACCTCGGGACAGTCCCTCCTCCCTGGGCCTCAGTAGGACCGTCTGGGAAATGAGCAGATGGACAGATAGATAATTCTAAGCTCAGAGAGTCTTTTCTAATCTCCTCTCCAAAGATCCTGCCTATTCCTCAGGGATTAGTGACCCAGGCACTTCCTCTCCCTCTCCAGGTAGCTGGTGGTCCTGGTGGCTGCCGCTAACACATGAGCTCTCCTGTGGGGGGAGAAGGGAGGCTCTGAGGGCTCACTGAGCTGCTCTAGTGGCAAAGCGCCATGCAAAGAAGGGAGTGGGGAGGTGTGGGTGGGTGCGTACAGCCAGAGATCATTCCATAACCACTGATATGAGGCCAGGAGAAGCGGGAGGACCAGAAGGGCCACACAGAACACCACAGGGCGTCAGCCCTGACGTGAAGACACTAAGGTCAAACCGTCCCTGCACAGAAGAGGAGCCTGAAGCCCTGAGGATCAGGGGCTGGGCCAAGATCACCAATAGGTAAGCGCAGAGCCCAGGCTGAGGCTCAATGCCCTGGCCTGCCTCATGCCCAGGCTGGCTTTGGTCCTGGTGCCTAGGGGCCCTCCCAGGGCCAGCTCACATGTGCCCTGCAGCTCCAACTCCCAGGTGAATTCTTGGAATGGAAGTGTGAAAAGGGACACAGGGTTTGTTTTGGTTCTTTTGGAAATGTGGACATCAGTGGGAGGGGCACCTGTTTGTCCCAGCTTTGACCAAGGGTCACTGGGTCATCCTGTTCTGGGTGGAGGAGGCTACTGGCCTTGAGGAAGTTTCCAGAGGGATAGGCTGCTCTAATCACTGGGGCCTGGCCCCTGAGGTAAGGGTCCCAGCAGAGAGAACAGAGGCCATAATCCCTCACATCCAATCATAATTGACCACTTTTTATTATAATAACAGCTCCATTTTGCAAGTGAGGCTAACGAGGCTCAGCGAGCTTGAGAAAGTGTGTCTTGTGGTCCCACGGGCAGAAAGTGACAGTTTAGCAGAATCTGCCAGATCGTGAGCCCACCTAAACGGGACCAGGGCTGACTCCTATGTGTCCCCATGCCTAGCACAGAGCCCAGTGCTGTACAGGGAACAAAAACTGTTGGTCAATGAATAGAGTGACAGAGCAGGAACTTAACCCAGGTCTCTAACCACAGGCAGAGAGAGGGAGACCCAGGAAGTGGGGCTCAATCCAATGGGGAAATCCGGCATTGCAGCTCTTCCAGAGAAACAGGCAATAGGAATTTAGTGGGGAAAAGCCTGGGGCTTGCATTCTAGTACTAACGCTGGCACAGACTTCCCGTGCAACCTGGACTGGACCCTGCCCCTCTTTGGGACTCAGTTTTCTCACTTCCAGACTGAGTGGGTTGGGTCTTATGATACAGTATTGTCCCAGCAACAACAGCCTTGAACCCCCTGCAGCCAGAGAGATGGAGTCAGGGAAAGGCAGGAGTGGAAACTCTGGCCCCCAGGATCCTGGGAAAACTGGCTCAGACTGGGGTGTGCCAAGGGCACGCCCTCCCAATACTGAGTACAGTGGGGAGGAATGGAGGGTTACCTGGCCACCTCCTCCGGGCAGCATGCCAGGATGTCTAGTCGCTGACTCACAACAGCAAGCATACACCACCCTGCACACATTCACTCTCACACACACTGCTTCTGCTTTTCAAACCCCACTGCCTTCTGCTGGGTTACCCTAAGCAGCTAGGGTGTGCCAGCGCTGGGATGCTCAGCGAGCTGGCCAGACAGGTCTTTCCCCTGCAGGAAAAACCTTCAGGATTCTGCCAGAGTTAGCTACAACCCCCCAGCATTGCCCACATGCACCATGGCCCACATGCCTCTGCCTTGCCAGCCTGGCTTGTAAACTGTCGGCCGACGGCCAGAAAAAGATGAGAAGAAGTCCAGACCAAGCCACCATTTATACCATCAGGACCTTGAGGTTGGCCCCAGAGAAGACAGGTGCTTAGAAGACCAGTGTGTACCAGAGCAGCCAATGATACAGAAAAAGAAAACTCAGAGACCAACTTAGGTTTAGACTACGTTGGGGAGACTATGGGGAGACTGCATGCTGGTAGGGATGGTGCCTCACTGAGAAGGTCATACTGGGCTCTTCGAGCCTACATCCTCCAAGCCTGAGGGAAGCCTGAGTACCTACGTGAGCTTATTTCCTACAGCTCTGCCGTATAGGGAGACAGTGTGCTGTGAAGGGAACAGTCCAGACTTGAGGCAAGACAGTAATTGGAACTTCAGCTCAAATTGCTCCTAGCTTCATTCAGCTTTATTACTCACTGACCTTCAGGCTTTTCTTCTGTGAAAGGGGGATAAAATGAATACCCGCTCACAGGGTACTGTGGGGGTTAAAGGGAACTCCTTGAAGAAAGGTGCTGGTTTCTAGAAAGCTCCCAATAAATGGAGATCCTCCTTCTCCACTCTACCTCTTCAACATCCCCCACACTCCAGACTTCTTCTCAAACTCAGGTGCCTATGTGCTCATTGGTTTCCATGCCTCTTCAGTGCTACTCCTCTTTAAGATGGAGTTCTAGGAGCACGTCCTCCAGAAGCCTCCCCTGAGCACTTCAGCAACCAGGGCCTCGCTCTTCTCTCACTGCACATCTCATTTCCTGGGCCCTAATTCCCAGGGTCATGAGCCCCAGCGACCTACCTGCAACTGGCCGAGAGAAGCGATATTCTCCAAGAGCTTCAGAAGGAAAAAAAGCCCCCCACACTTACTGCTTTAAGTTGCACCCGTGGTTCAGGTCAGATGGACTTGAAACTACCTTAGTGTTGCTCTTGATAAATCACTGCCATTTTAAGTTGTGCCTTTAATATTGACTCAAAGGCAGACAAGCAACGGCCATAATATCTATTGTATGTGCTCCTTCTATCACGAAGGATCTCAGTGTCCGAAACCTCTTTTACCCAAATGCTAGAACAAGTCTTGTTTCCCCAAGAAACTTGCAAGCTTCTTCCTTTCCCAAAATAAAAACCAACAACTATCATGTTTCCATGTTTGCCCTGGCTGCCAGGAAGCTCAGAGTTGACCACGAAGCTCAACCTCTGCAACTTTGTTGGACTCGTATGGCTGAAATACTAGTATTTTTTCCTTCAAGTCTTGACTTTTCCTTTTACCCGGTATCACACTGTATGTATCCCAAATTGCCTCAAACCCTGCATCAGTTGGGGTAGAATATGAACATATGTTCATAGTGGAAGTGGTCACATGGTTCAGCTGAGCACACTTGGTAACTGTGGATGGATGAATTAAGGCTTAAGTTCTGATTTCTCAACCATTTCTGTCCTGATACCCAAGGTAACACCCACAAGTCTTTACCTGGATGGGAAAGTAGTCTCGAAAGTATCGCCACACAGCCCAGTTTCGGACCCACTGTGATCTCCTGCCACCTTCCAGGAAACAAAATACAGCATTGAGAAGGAGTGGGAGTAGGGGCGGGTGACGCGTGGGCAAGGCAGATAAGACAGAGCCCCTGTGAAACCCTGAGTTGGGGGCCTACCACCCTGTGGAGCATCTCCTCCCCCCTTCCTGCCAGGCCCTTTGCCACCTTTGTTCCCTCACGTTATGCAAACCCTTGACTGAATGGGAGCTCCTCTGAGGACCTGGGTGGTGCCCTCTGAGGGGCTTTTAACACCTCAGACCACCCCCTGGGCTGGCTCCAGGCTTTCCCCTTAGTAAGTGCTAAGGAAAAAGGGGTGGCACTCATGCTGAGGAAGTTCACGGTGGGCAGGAGGGAGCGTCCCAAGGGCGAGGGGGTGGGGCTGGGAGGCTGTGCTCTCACCTTTCTTGGGCGTGTTCCAGTCAAAGGCCAGCCAGGTGAAGTAGAGCACGGCGATGAGCCAACAGTCGGTGCAGAATGTGTACATGAGGATGGCGCTGCAGGCCACTCCTGGTGGGGAAGCAGATGGCCACAGATCAGGCCCTGTGGTCCCCAGGTGGGGGGGGGGGGCTCCGTTTCCCCCTGGGCAAAGGCTCACCAATGACAGGACCCAGGCATAGCTGGGGCCGCGGGCAGAGAAGGTCTGTAGCCACAGCCTGGTGAGGAGCAGGCTCCCGGGGACAAGAGCCTCATCTAGATTCTGATGGGCATCCCTGGTGTCGAGGGGCTCATGGGTTCCATGTGGTCTGGGCAGTAGTGCTGGGGAAGCCATCCTTGGAGCTGATCTTTCTGGCCTTTCCTCGCACATTCTCCCAACCCCAGTACCTCACCCTCCCACCGTTACCATGGACACAGGGCGGGACCTGCCAAGTGCCTCTACATCTCAGGACTTGGGTGGAGCCACTGTCTCATGTGTGAGGCCGGGGGACTTTATCCCATTTTGGAAATGAGAACACCAGGGCTCGAGGAGGAGGTAACATGCCCAAGGTCATCCAGCAGGACGGTGGCAGAGCCAGCATTCAAACTCAAGCTGGACCAGTAAAACCATAATGTGCACCAGGCTTTAGAAGTTCACCCAAAATCAGGGCGCCTGGGTGACTCAGTGGGTTGAGCTTCAGACTTCAGCTCCGGTAATGTTTTCACAGTCATGAGTTTGAACCCCGCTGTCAGCCTGTCAGCATAGAGCCTGCTTTGGATCCTCTGTCCCTCCTTTTCTCTGCCCCTTCCTTCTTACTCTCCCTCTCAAAAAATAAAAAACATTAAAAATAAAAAAAAAAAAAAAGAAATTCACCCCAAATCAGAAGTCCCAGACTGCCACCAGAGGGACCTGAGATGGATTCCTGCCCCAGGAGGAGGGCCGTCTTCTACCAACATAATGGAGCAGCAGGCAGTCCCAGGCCAAAGCCCAGAGCCCATAGGCCCCCTTGCAAAACCCCAACAGGGCCCCCAGATGACTGTCTGGGTCCAGCTTCCATGCAATCACTCCTTTCTGGGTCTCCTGGCCCTAACATTGAATACCATGGCACAGAAAGGAAGGAAGGTCTGTGCCAGAGCTGGTGTACCTCATGGCTGGCCCCTAGACGGCTTCCTCAGGGCCTCTCTTCTTCCCACTTCTACCCAGCCATCAAGGTCTAGCTCAGACCAGATCTCTTCAAGATCTGTTCTCCAGTATCACACTACCCTTCCACACAGATCTCTCACCTCTGAATTCTTCACACTAGGGAAGGGGGGCACATCTTCTTTGCTCCCTGGCACTCAGTCTAGGGCTGGGGCAGCAGGTACTCATGCTTGCAGAAGCGTGGCTTCCGTCTAGCACCCTCTCCACTGCTCAGGGGGCGAAGTCAACCCTTGTTGTATGCCCACTCTGCTGGGCCCTGTGCTGGTCATGGGTGCTCCAGGGCTGCCCGGCTCTGCAACCCATGCCCTCTCTTCTTCCCGTTATACTGAGCCTTCTCTGGTTTAATGAGGGACAGGGGAGGTCTGGACGGACTCTCCATGAGCCTAAGAGCAGGAAAATGGTGGGCCCTTGTCATCCACAATCCAGTCCTGTTCTACTCCTGAGCTAACCTCTCTCAAGGTAGCTGAATACAGCACAACTATCTTGGAAGGGGCAATGAACATAGAGTGACCGGGCATCCAGCTTTTCAGGACCAGCTTAGGAGCGTGACATCACAGATGGGGAAGGTGAGTCTCTAGGGAAGCGTTTGCAGTCTACAAAACTTTGTTAAAGGCAAACTGGGAAGTATTTGAAGCAGCTTGGTGAGTGGCTATGCCTAAGTTAAGGTCACTAACAAAGTCACTCACACTGTTGAGCAGTTGCCTTTGGTGCCCTTTCTTAAGGCTGGGACAAGGGCCATTCTAGCCCTCTAGACTCCAACAGGCACCCAAGCTCTTTCAGAGGCCAGGCGGATTCTCCAGGTAGGGCCTGGGCAGGGAGGGCCCTGAGGTTCAGGCTAGGGTTTGAGCATCCTGGAAATCTAGCTGCCATCAAACCCCTAACTCTCCTAAGGGGAAGAATGACCAGGGGATGCTGAGCCACAGGCCCCGATGCCCCACTGCCTCAATGTCTGGGCTCTCTGGGAGGGTGAGAATCCGTACCTACTGTCCTCACTCTGGTGCTAAGGCAGCCTGGATGGAGAGAGAGAGAACCAATGGAGAATCTAGAGACTGTATGCTAGTTCTGGACTTTCTCAGCCCAGGTGGCCACTCTCCCTAACCCCACATGTCCACACCATGTGCCAGACTACTTCCTGCACACAGCCCTTCAGCCTGAGCTCCCTGGGAGCTGGAACAGTGCCCTACTTACCTCTCCAGCCCTAGCAATCAGCCCAGAAAAGGCTTCCTGAACAAAAAATGACCTGAACCCACGAAATGGCCTCCTTTCTCAGAGCCTGACCCCAGTCCTCTGAACAAAAGGCTCCCTGCTTCACCATCGTGGGCTACAGGGCTGCAGCCAGAAGCCCCATCACAGGGTCCATGAAGTGAAAACAACTACTTAAAGACCCTGCTGGTTCCATGCGTGGAAGGCCCACAGCCACCTTCACAATCGCCCCCTCCCCACATCTGGGTGAAGCTGGTGATTCAAAACTCTCGTCACCAAGGCCTGTGAGCAGGGTGGCCTGTGACTGCTCAGTGGCAGGGAGGCAGCAGGCCCGTGATGAGTGTGGACGTGCTCTTCCGTGAAGCCTTAGCCCCACCACTCATCAGGTGCGGCCCCTCCTTGAGCCTCAATGTTCTCATAGGGTGTTGGGAAGGTTACATGAGACGATGTGAAAAAGAGCTTAACACACAGCTAAGTGTCCCCTCTGGACATCCATAGACTTGGATGGGGAACAAAATAACACCTTTAATTTGTACCCATATCTTAGGGAAATTCCGTATTTCCTTCATTTACGCGTGTAACACACCCCCGTAGGATTAGCAGTGACACCAATAGAGAACAAAGGTGCTTGCGTATCCCATCTACAGCAGTGGCAGATATCTTAAAAAATGATTTATTCTCATCACTACTTAAGAATTATAGTAACGGTAAAAAAAAATTGTAGTAATCATTAAGCCTGCTGCTAGACCTTTCTATTTAACGTAATAATAGAGAGGCACACGTGTTACTGTACATCTAATTCGATTTCTTAAATGCACACATATTTACATTTCAATATCACTGGTTTTCTCTGAAATCCCCTATCCTTTGCATGACACATTTAAACACGCTGAGGAAGTCATATAGCCTTTGCCACAAGGCCAGAGGAGTCGACTGCACGAAAATGGTAAAGAGTCACTCTGTTCAGGGGTAGGCGATGGGGCCAGAGCAGCCTCTGTAACACGGGATGAGCCTCTGCCAGCAGATTTGGGTGGGAGCAGGAAGGAGTGGCGGGCTGCCCAGGGCAATAATTAGCGGCAGCTCAGCACACCTACCCATCCAACCGGGCTTGGGTCCCACCTACACGAGGGCGTTGGGAAGATGCTGGGCCGGTTTCTGGGCTATGTTGGACTTGATCAATTGTTAACCTTCAACTTGAGGCCAGTCCCTGTTGCACACTGCATGGACTGGGGTTCTACCTGCTGCTCTGCTCCCCATCAGCCACGCTCTGACCCACTAAGCCGGGGATAGTGGGGGCTTCTTGGTACGAGTGGGGACAGAGGGACCTGCTACAGCAGGCTGCGCAGGTGTCTGGGAGGCTGTAGCCCATGGGGTCCTGTCCTGGTCCCACTACTTCCTCCTCATTCTGGGTAAGGCTCTGCCCCTCTGGGCTCTCTACTCTAGGACCCTTATAAGTGGCCAAATGTAGTCCAAGGTGGCGGTTTGAGCCCTAAGGGAGCCAGTTTAATGGGCTCTGTTCCCCAGACCGGTGTTGACCTCGTAAAGTCCCTGTAAGAATCTGAGGACCGTAGTTGCCCTTCACCCCAGAAAAAGGTACACATATTCTCACATATAATTCTTCACCTAATTTGCAGGGTTCATGGTCCTCTCCCTAAAGCCCACTCTCGGGCCTAAAGGTGAAAAGGGGCTGTTTCAGACCAGGTCCACTAACTCTGAGCTCTCTGGGAAGGTGGGCTCCCTGGAGGGTGCACTGGGCTTCTACCCAGATCCCAACTGTGCCACTTAACGGGCTTCACAGTCTCGGAGAGTCACCGAGCCTCTAAGCTTCCGTTTCCTCACCTGTGAAGTAGAAAGTCAAGGAAAGGCGCATCAAGTGCCTGGTACACTGTGGGGGCTTGATAAACAGCACCCTGTCCCATCCCTCTGCCCGCCAAAGGAAGGGAGGGGCAGCACGGAACTGCCCTGGAAATGTGGTCTCAGAGGCCCCCACGCCTCCTGGAAGGACAGCCGCTTTGCACTGACAGGGCAACTCGTGATAAACTCCATCAGCCCGGACAATCTTAAAGAGTGGTGTGCCCCGAAGGACTCTCCACAGGCACTGGAATGTGCTCTGTGATACTCTGCCCTGACTTGCTGGGAGGCCACTCACTATGCTGAGAACACAGGAGCCTGGGGAAGAAGCGAGGCTGCTGGGAGAGTAGGGGCTGGCCCGCACAGGGGCCCTTTCCTCCTCCCGGACAATCCCCCACAGCCCAACCCTGGTCTGGCAGCCCAGGGCCAGGGAACGAGTGCTTGACCAAGCTGGACCTGTAGTAGCCAAAGCACTGCCAGGGGAGGGGCTGAGAGAGAGAGAGAGAGAGAGAGAGAGAGAGAGAGAGGCTTTAAATGCGCCAGAGGGAGTAGCTGGGGACTGTGTCGGGCAGAGGGTACCGACAGCTGGGAGGGGGTCTGAGGGCACATCCCAACAGCAGCTCCCATACAACGGGGGCCCACCGTGACCAGGCCCTGTGCTGCAGGCTCTCATCCCTTATCTTCAAGTCCCACAAAGGACGCATGGAGTCAGCAGCACTTTTGTCACATTTGCAAAGAGGAAACACTTTCAGAGAGCTCCGGGTCACAGAGCTTGCCTGTGGCAGAGTCACGACTCAAACCCGCACCGTACCACACTAAAGCAAAGCTGCACACCTACTGGAAAATGGATGTGGGTAGGCAGTGTGGCATGTGGGAAAAACACAGGCTTTGGGGGTCCTACAGAGGTGGATTCAAATTTTTGTGACTGAGGTAAGTTACTTACCTTACGTGAGAGTTGGGTTTCCTATCTGGGAAATGGGAACTGTACCACCGCCTCCCACTGCATCTCACTGAGTCCTCACCCATGCCTACGGGTAGAGCACTTGATCGGGCACCCAAGAGATGCTCTTACCCTTCACCCCTGCAGAGCAGAGCTCCTGCTCTCACCTTTGCTGGGGAGACCCCTGCCTGCCCTCACCCGCTAAGCCCTGGCTTACCAAGCACAAGGAAGGACAGGACCCATTGTAGCACCGAGATCACCTGCAGCTGCTTTTCCACCTTGGACCTATTGAGCCAAGTGACGGAGAAGATGTCCTGGAGGGCGGAGAGGATGCTGGAACCAGTGCCTGCAGCAGAGGGGACAGGTCAGCCTGTTGCCACCCTTCCTTCCAGCCTCAGAGTTCCCAGCACGAACCCACCCCCACATACACACTTTCCTACATGTGAGAGGAGCATGGGCCACAAAATCAGACAGCCCTGGGTTCAAATCCTAGCCCTGCCACCCAGTGGCTCTGTAATTCCGGGCTGTTCGCATACTTCCCTGTGCCCCAGCTTTGACAGATACCCATTGGGAATGGAGTCATTCTGGAGACCAAATGAAGTATCCAAAGAGGCTGGGGGAAAGCTCTCCATAATTTCCAGTTCTCTTCCCTCCCCCTTTCACCCCAATCAAACTCCTGTCCTTATCCTTTATCTGGATCTAGTACAAATATTTAATCTTTACTATCTGTGCCTGTGAGGCCAAGGACAGAGGTTCAATATCCAACTTGCAATGTTTTTTTTCTCCAAGTGTACTTTGAGTACCCCAGTCCCTGCCCCCTCTCATCCTCACGACCCCTTTTCCAGCAGTCTGAGCCCTCTTGTCCCCACCCAACACCACCACTACCATTACCACCTTCGGAGGGATTTACACTTTTGGCTTCATCTCAGTGCCCAGAGCTTGGGGCCCAGAGAGGAACGGAGCAGGAGCTTTTGCTTCCCTAAAGGACCTCATGGCCAGTGAGCTTCAGGAAGCCTGGGATAGTGAGGGCGGTAATTATGTTTGCTACCAAGCAGGTGCCAAGCCTAGAAGTTAGGCCAAAATGTGCCCACTTAATTGGCTCTTTGGCTGTGCCCCCAGGATGATGTCCTGGACTCCAGTGGCTAATAGGCAGTAGGACCAGAAAGCCTGGTGATGGCAGGAAAGGCAGAACTGGGGAAGAGCGTGGGTGAGGCTCCTCACCCATAGCCTACTTCTTTCAGCATCTGGGCCAAAGGAAGTGGGTCACTTCAAACCCCCACATGTGCTGAGCCCCAATTGCATACCCTGTACTCTATACGTCTTCACTGAGTGCTTCCTGTGCGCTGGTCAAACATTCCTTCACACCAGCCACTCTGCAAGGCCCAAGCACTGAGTCACAATCTTGTCTTTGAGGGTCTCTTGACTTTTCATCCTGGCCTACTGCTGGGAGAGGGTTTAGGGGCTTACACTCAAGCCTTTGCATTTCTTCAAAATCTGGACAGCAACAAGGTCACAGCGGAATTTAGAAAGGGACATAACCCTCATCTGCTGAGAGTTAACAATTGCTTTGACTTTTAGGAGACACACAGATAACACCAGACCTCAAGACAACATACCAGTCCTGTCTCCTGTACCTGGTCTAATGGATCAGAGGAAGGGGTCATGGAACAGCAGAAGACCCAGACGCCAATTCAAACCTCGGTTCCACTCACTATTGACCCAGGCAAGACCGCCAAGGCTCCTTGCCATATCCCCAGGGCATGGCACCTATGAGTGCTGGGTAGCCCTGTATACTCTACGGGCATAACTGAGGTAGAGGTGGGTCATAGGTGAACTTACAAAAGCAAATGAAGCTGGGCCACAGAGGCATTCCAGAGGCTTTGGCATAATGCTCCTTGGCCCTCTAAATAAAAACCCTACCACCACGGGCCCTTTCTACCTTCACACTTTCCCAAAACCCATGCTAGAGCCTGAGGGCCCCCCTGGGGTCAACGAGTAGGGCCCCATTGGATGCTCAGGTGACTGAGGAGGAGCACTGACTTGCTCAGGGTTACCCAGGCAGTAGGAGGTAGAGCTAGGGCTGGAACCCAGGATTCCTGCTCCCGGCTCATGGTGCCTCCCTTTCCCCTACAGCAGGTGCCAAGCACAAAGGGCTCTTGTACTTGTACGTGGGACACAGCAGATCTGAGACAGGTTATGCTCAGGGCCTGGCAAACCTGTCCAGAAGTGGGGAAAGGCCTGTGTAAATACATGGGGGAGAGAAGTGTGGCCCAAGCACAGGCCTGAACCCCTGATCCCAGGGCTGGCCTCCCAAGTCATGGCTTTGCTGCTGGCTCTGCCTCCTGAGCTGTGCTGGATGAAGTGAAGTAAGAGCCGTGGCAGCTAAGGTCTGGGTCCCGGTGTTGTGGCTGCAGAGAAGACAGAATATACTCCAGCACCTTCCTCATCCAAGTGCGGTCTAGAAATGCATAATCTAGGCTCCAGCCTGCATCTGCCAAATCAAAGTCTGCATTTTAACAAGATCCTCAGTCCAAAGTCCCAGGTAGGGTAGTCTGGAGCAGGGGCGGAGGTGGGGGAAAGAGCTGGGACCTCCACCTTCTGCTGGGCAGGGAATAAAAGGCAATGGTCGTGGGACCAATGCCTACTGCAAACAGGACCCTGAGGTCAGCAGCTTGAGGAGTGCTTAAGGAAAGGGCTCACTGGGACGCCTGGCTGTCTCAGTCGGTGGAATATGCAACTCTTGATCTCATGGGTTTGAGCCCCACATTGGGTATAGAGGTTACTTAAAAATACAGTCTTTGAAAGAAAAAAAAAAAAAAAAAAGGAAAGGGCTCTGGGTGAGGGCCAGCCGACTGGTCCCACTCATCATATGGAGCTCTCCTGCTTAGGAAGAGGCCACACAGTAATTCCCCACTGGTGACATATCCCCTGTTGAAACAACTGAAAAGACAAGTTCTTCCTCATGCCTAATCCAAATCCATCTGCTAAGCTCATCTCACAATTAGATGTGGCCAGAGTGCTGGAAGGTGTGTGACCCTCACCCTAATAACCAGACAGAAAGAAGGAACCGGAGGGTCTCACACCAGCCCCAAGGCAAGCGGCCAGAGCCAGTTTTTTCCACGCTGCCCAGCCTGTTCCTACCCTGTCTTATCCCGACTATCTCCCACAGCCCATTCTGCAACAAAGTAGGAAATGCCAAGTGCACTGAGAAGTGACAGGTGTTTCTCTGGAAGTCAGAGTGAGGTGCTACCCGGAGTGGGAGGCCAGGGGGATGCTGCCTTCCTTCCTCAGGCCTGGCCCGCTCAGCTGCCTCTGGGCCAGACCATCCCAGCCTGGCTGACCACAGAACCCAGCCCTGTTGCTGGCCTACCCATGACACTCAACCCCAGCCCCAGTGGAAGCCTCCTATGAACATAAGAGACGTCAAGCCTTTGTTCCTCTGCCTGGAAAGCCCCTCTTTGCATTGCCCACCTGATGAGACCCTGACAATGAGATAAGGCAGCTCGTCCTTTGAAACCCAGAATAGCCAAGCCTTTGCAGAGAGGTTATCATTCTTTCCCTGGGATTATGAAGTCTGAAGCCCATGCAAGCCTGGAACTGTCAGAAGCCATCATACCTGTCCCCTGCCCGTGGAGAAAGCCTGTCTGGAATGAAGTCAGGAGAGGCCCATGGAACAGAGAAATAAGAGAGAGAAAAGGAGTCCTCACTCTGGGTCCCATGGCCCCTCTCCTCGTACTAACCGCAGATTACAAATCTATTCTCCCATGATGCAGCCAGGACTGGGTCTGATCCATGTCTGGGTTCCCAGTGGCCTGCCAGTGCCTGGCCCAGAGCAAACACTGAGACAGGTTTGCTGAGTGAGAGGAGGAGCAGGTCTCTGATCTGGCTGTTCCTCAGGCCCCCCAGCTGCCTCTCTTCACGGCTGGGTGAGAGGCATGCTGCCCACGTGACCCACAGAGTACTATCCACCGGCGCTCGGATTCCTCACCAGGCCTGTGAGCTTGGCATCATCACTCCCACTTGGAAGGTGATAAAAAAGTGACAGGGCCAAGGTCACTTAGCCAGAGGGTGGCACAGCTGGACTCAATTCGGGCAAATTGGATTTGGCTTGGATTCTGTTCCTATGCCACAGGTCCCCCCGAGTTCTTTCTCTCTTCTCCCCACAGCCAAGTGGGGGGAAAGCTGGGAGGGGATGGGGAGAATGAATGGTCTGTTTTCCTTCATAGGGGAAAACCAGGAGCAGGCATATTGTGGAGTGAGTGAAGTGGTAGCAGGCCTCCAGGTTTCAGTCCCAGTTCTGCCACCAACTCCTGTGTTACCTTGGCCAAGTCACTTTACCTGTCGGGGCGCTGGTTTCCCCATCTGTAAAATGAGCGATCTCTGCGACTGCTCAAACTCCTGGGGATACCACCTAGAGGCTTGGTACAGTTGCCCAGCAGATGGGAAGTGAGGCTCAGCTGGGTACCCTCGGGTCAGCACCCAGCTGCCAGCAGCTCCTCTGCCGGGCTGTGGCAGAAGCTGGTGTGCAATCAGATGCCACCACCACCACCGCCTTCACACTTAGCCTGACTGTCCTCCAGCCCCGGGTGGGGCCGGCAGGGAGTGACAGCATCTAGCTCAGTCTACTCTGCTCCCACGCCGCCCTCTCCTGGCCTTCCCCAGCACAAAGCACCCTCCCCGCCCTCTCAGCACCAGTCCTGCTGGCCGGCCTCCTCTACCAGCGTCTGCTGGGTGCCAGGCTCACACCTGACTCGTCCATGTGCCCTACGCAGGGCCTGGTGAGAGACGGTGCTCACAGAGGTTTACACATGAATGAACAGACCACGAGCCGCAGATGCAGTTGAAGGCCTGGATGTCCGAGTGAGTGGACAGGAAGTGGCTTGACAGGAAGGCCCCAGTGCCCTCAATGAGGACCTTGGCCAGGGTGGAGGTGGGGAAGGGGGGCAGAGGGCCTCCCTCTCCCTCCCTGAACGTGAGTTCCCCGCTGTGATGCAAACAGAACCCACTACCCACATCTTTTTTTTTTATTTTTTTTCATGGAAGGAGACAAGCCGAGCTACAGGCTAACTTCACGAGTCCTGTGAAGAAATGTTCCCAATAGCTAATTCAACTAGCTGCTCCAAGGCAGGCACCATCCATCTCACCATTTATTTTACACAGCTCGTTTGCTCCTAGATCAGGGGAGGGCAGAGGGAGTGGAACTGCCAGAGAAGCCCAGAGCAGTTCTCTTACACCCAGCAAGGAAGCCACCCCATCTATATGGGGCTTCGGTGTCCCACGGCACTCCCCAGGAAGGCAGGCAAGGCAGGGATGGCAAGCCCCATTTCACAGAGACGGAAACTGAGG